AGAGAAGCAGCAGTGAGCTGTAGGGGGCTTACAAGGCCACTACACTCTCCACTCTGCAAGGCTGAAAGTGACAGGGCAGAGTTTCGTGTGATGTATTTCCCCCCCCCCTTTTTTCTGCAGGAGTGGATCACTGGGACCTAGAAGTTCCTCATAACTTCCATCCAGTATGTTCAGAATTGGAACCATTTTACTCTCCTTTATGATATCAAGATTGCCAAACCCAAACATTCAAAAATCATAAGTGGGGAGCCAAAAAAATCATGAGATTGGAAAGAATAATGAATTTGGGGATTGTATTATTTGCTGTCTGGGTTTTGAGCCTTTATGGGTCATAGTTTCAAGTTTTCCTCGACCACTCTGAAGGCTAGAAACTTATTTTAAAAAACAAAACAAAATAAAGGAACAAACAAAAACCCAATGGAGATTCTCACATTATTGCCTGAACTCCAGGAGCTCAAGCTCTAAGGAAAACACCCAATAGAGTGATGCTTGTGATAAAAATCATGAGTTGGAAATGCTGACATATACTTATGTTTTGCCTATGCCTAGAATGTCCACGATGGCCAGGTTTGAGGCAGTGTCTTTGTTTAAATGTGTCGCTGTGAATGACATGTGAATTTCTTTAAACAGGATTAAAACAAGATTTTCATTCTTGTTTAAAGTATGGGCTTGAGGATAGTAATTATATGAGGATGTTATTAGGCTGAACTAATATCTCATGTTAATATGGTTTGCTTGGAAAAGGGAATCTTACCAGTTTTGTGATTGGTAACATGGAGAGGAGAAATTCTATTTTTGGTAACTTTGCACATTGGCATTAAGTTGTTTATGATGCACAAGGGGAAGGGTGTATTTTCACATTTGAAATTGTGCAGCTCAAACCTGTGAAACTTCTTCCAGGTAGAAAGAAGAATGACTTGAACAGTTAGTTCTATCTAATCCATGTCATCTCTCTTATCTAGGTATTTACATCAGCTGCTTCACCATGGTATCTTAGCTCCTCTAGTTATCTAGGAAACAGGCTCAATCCTCTGCACTGATTCCTGTCTAAATCAATTCTAACTCCAATGAAGTCAATACAAGTTTCAAAAGAGCATAAATGAGCAAAGGATGACATGCAATAAATCATACTACTTTCCAGCAATAAAAGTGGAAGGAACTTTGCCTGATTGTGCCCTGGATTTTTATGTCCTATCCCTACCCCCCCAGTGTTTGTAAATATGACGCCATAGCTGGAGGGGGGAAGTGAGTTATATTCCACTTTCCCACAATGTTGAGATAAAAATAAAACAGCAGCAAACAAGAATGTTTGGAATTCAGAAAAAGAAAATCTTTAATTTGCATATGTGCACAATGCCCTGCCTGATATGCCTTACTAACAATTCAAAGCAATAACTGGGTGTCAAAAGAGCAGTTACAGTACATGCAAAAACAGCTGGGTGTGCATTAACATGATGAGATAGATATTAATACATCTGTCAAATAAATACACGTATCTTTCACCTAAAGAACAAAACTTCAGACTATTGCAAAAGGAAAGGTCCAATGAAACAACCAAAAGTGAGCATGAAAACTGTAATACATGGGGACATGTGACCTTTTGGAGCCAAAAAACTGAAAGTGGCAAGTGGCTGATAGGCAGTAAGGGCTAAATCCTGAAGTTCTTACTTAAGAAAAACTCCTATTGAAGTCCATGAGATTTTTGACTGAATAAGGACTGCAGGCTTTGGGCCTTAGTTAATAGAAATGATGAATAGTAAGAAATGTCTTTACTAATCAATTTTAAACCATGTATTTACTTATCATGTAACTGAGGAGGATAAAAAGTGGAAACATTAAAGCTTCATTCAAATAAAAATTTTTTTAAAAAATTCAAATAAATATGATTATTTAGGAAAATCCGAGATCATGAATATCTACTGAAATCAAAACTGACACAATAAAAGTTAATAAATACTTTAAATAAACAATTCAGGAGTTTCATTTTAACCTATAAAATAACTATAGATTTTAAGGACTATAGAAATAAAAAGTAGAGGATAGGGGGTTGTTTTGTTTTTCAATAATGGTAACATTTTCATCAGTCCCAGGAGTATCAGTCATTACAAGCTTACACACTTAACGTGTTATTGGAATTGCTGAAGAAAAATGATATAATTAATATGCAATTTGACTGCAAATGAAACAGGTCTATTTACTTCTCCTTTGTGCTCAATCATGGGCTCCGTCACACTTACAGGCACTGGCCCGCATAGAGTGCACCAGGCCAGGGAGCGTTGAGGTAGAACTCCCCCAGACCTTACTGGGGAGTGTGCCCCTTCAGAGGGTGAATTATACCATTTCTTGTGTATCCAGCCAGCTCTGCCTCCTGCCCATCCCCTTTGGGGTATCTTGTATGCAGGGGATGATAGGAAGGAGCAGTCCATGCACCTGCAGGAGTGTAGGGGCTGTGATTGTATCCAACTATTGTACAGGGCAGGAGGGAAGGCTCTTGGACTCTCTCCTCCCCCTTGTGTACCCCTGGAGCAGGTGGGCATACTCTGGCCTAGTGCCAGATGAATGTATTTACACTATTTGGAGATTCCATAATATACCAATAACAAATATTTGGTATTTTACAGTTACTATTTATATCCCCGTTCCCAAAGAAATGTGTTACACGTCCATGGTCCATTTCATGTTGAAGCAGGGTACGATTTTTATGTTTGATTCACCAGAATAACTATGGGAGGTTGGGGGGGCAAATTTTCCATAGTTGCAAAAGAGGGGCTAAACCTGTCCTCTGCACAGGTAGCACCACTGAAGTCAGGAGGACTATATGTGAATGAGGTGAGCAGGATTGATCCATGAGGCTTGCAAATACATACAGGAGCAAAGCATGTCCCCTACTTCTCCTCTGTGGTGCAAGGCCAAAACTGCAGACGAACCACCACTTCATTCAGCATGTGGGGTGAGGGCACAGAGAAACCACACAGGGGAACTCCACATTCCTTGTGCACTGTGGGACACTGAGGTGGGAAGATTCACAGAAAAGTTGGGTAAATTATGTAGATGCACTTGCCAAAACCCCCATTTAGGGAGCACATTGGAGGCTTCTGGCAATCACTATATTACAGAGACTGCAGCAACAGTAGAGTGGCTCACAGCTGCTAGATGTATTTGGTTCATCTTATGGGAAAGATACCATCCCACAGCCCATGCAGGACCGCTGCATAAAACCCAGGTACTCGGGCACCTCTTTGTTTAGTCATCCCTGGTATTTTAAGAAATATATTCCATTAGCAATCCATCTAGATTTCATAGAATTGTAGGACTGAAACGGACCTCAAGAGGTCATCTAGTCCACTTCCCTGCACTCATGGCAGGACTGAGTATTATCTAGACCAGGGGTCTCAAACATGCGGCCTGCAGAGCTCTTCCCTGCGGCCCGCCAAGCTCCCTGCACCCCCCACCCCGAGTTATTTTATGTGGCAGCTAAGCTCCCTGCTCGCTGCTCCCCAGTGTTTGGGGCTGGGTCGCTCCCCTGGCCCCACCTGCCACCCCCACGCGTCTCCCCCAAGTGCCCCCCCGGGCTCACTTGCTGCCCATTCACTGCCCCGGAGCCTGCAGCAGGGTCCTAGTGCCCCCCTTCACTATGGCCAGGGCAGGCTGCCCTTCCCCTGCCCTTCTGCCCTAGTCCTGAGCCTCTCCAATGTCCCAAACCCCTCATCCACAGCTCTCACCCCTGCAGATCAGGGGTGGAGTGGTGGTGGAGCCCAGTGCAGTGTGTGTGTGTGGGCTTTAACAGAAGTAAATCTAACTAAGTGCGTGTTTTGTCCTTTGAGTGAGGTGCATTACTGTTGGTGGCGCTTAGCACTTTCCAGGAGGGCGGGGGGAAGGAGCAGGGAGCTGCGCGCTCAGGGGAGGAAGTGGAGAAGAGACGGGGCAGGGGCGGGCCTCAGGGAAGGGGTGGAGTGGGGGTGGGGCCGGGGGCAGCAAGGGGGGGTGTCAGTGATGCAGCCCTTGGGCCAATGCACTAGTCCTCATGTGGCCCTTGTGGTCATTTGAGTTTGAGACCCCTGATCTAGACCATCCCTGAAAGGTGTTTGTCTAACCTGGTCTTAAAAATCTCCAATGATGGAGATTCCACAACCTCCCTAGGCAAGTTATTCCAGTGCTTTATATATGTCGGCATCATTTTCTGGTGGTGGGAAGACAGGACTAGGATCCAAGTACTTCAGAGATTCTAATCCCAGCTCTACTACTAACTGTGGACAAATCACTTTGGATCTGACGTTTCAGAGGTGTTGAGCGACCACACCACCTATTGATTTTCAGAGATGTTGTGGGTGCTCAGCATCCTTAACCACTGTATCTTAGTTTCTCCATCTGTAAAATGGGGAGACAACCACTTATCTCCTGTCCTCCAACTGGTTTTGTGAGGATTAATTAGTTGTTGAAAATTTTGAAACTGTAAAGTGCTATATATTGGTGGTATATAATTTATTACAATATTTGTAGCAACATAGCAACAAACTTAGTCTAGATGTACATAGTGTGTGTAAAAAAAATGTGATAAAATTAGGATAATGAGGTGGACACCTAGAAGAACCCTTGCCTGCACCTTAAGAGCATGACTGATGAGAGATCCCCAGACCTACAAAGCAGCTATGGCAAAATGGTATACAGGAAGATGAAGTAGCAGCCAACAGGTGCCACAAAGGTCTGTTAGGACACTTACAGTTATTTACATGTTTTGTGTGAATAGAGATAAAATAAAGGTCAGCTAGAGTCTTGCTTTTAAGACCAGTTTTACTGCTTCTATTTTCCACTGTGTGACCTTTAGGCGTTTTATGCAATTGACTTATGGCAATTCTTTTTGTATTATGAATACACAGAAAGCACATAGTAAGTTGGCTTTATGGTCCAAATAACCCATGCTTCTTATTTATCATGCATCAGGATACAATCAGCTTCTTATCAGTCACTACTGAAAAGAACAAGCAACTTTTTGAAAAAATAAAAAGCACCTATAATTAACACTTTCCATGTTCACTTTTACAGCATTCATTAATCAGAACTATTTAAAAATACTTCTGGAAGTTTCCCTGTTTCTTTTCTTTAATGAGGAATTTACCAGTATTTCTTTGATATTTACTCATGCAATTATTTACAAAGATGGCCTACTAAGGTACATTTATAAATGCTAGTGTTTACACTTAGAACAAATGGAATTTATTGTGAAGCTCTTGGCTGGGCTAATAATGTAATTAAAGTGCAAATAAAGACAAAAACCATAAGCCAGGCAGATCCATTTTCATTGTTAACATTCAGAAACTTCACAAGTGTGGTAAGAAATGTCAGATCAAATAGGCTCAGGTCACAATCTTTTTTAAACATCTATCTCCCTGAGAAGATTTATGGGAGGTAAACAAATGATATAGCCCTATTTCTTCAACTGGCTGATAATCACTGGAAAAGTAAGAACACTTCCCCGGACTAGTTATTCAACAGTGCTAATACCTGCATTTGGTTTTATGATATACTGTATAGCATGCATTTTGAGCTCATCTTCCATGCGGCTACAATAGGTCACTATCAGGAAACTGTATGAAGAACCATATATTTGCAGAAATGGATTCTACCCAGAATCACACAGTAGCATGGGTTTTAAAAACAGTTACAAATAGCATATTTTCTCTAGCAGACACTCATATGCAGATGCTAACTTCCCCAAATAAAATTATATTTCCTATTTCCTGACAGTCAAACTTCACTGTAGAAAAAAGATTTTAGAATTGATCAGCTGAGCAAAAAAATAATGCTTTTTAAACAATTCATTTAAGGTAAAATAAAATAGTTAATCCTGCTCTCTTCATTGATGAGCATTATCCATTGCCAAACCAGGCAAGCATTCCTCCCCCAGTGTGTGCAGCAGGTGCTTTATAGTCACTGAACTGTCAGGGATGCTGTAGGTACAGACAATCAGAGTGCCTTTCTCAGGAGACGATGTGCTAAATGACCAAGTATCTCACTCATGATATGTTCATGAATCTGGGCCAACCAATTCCAAATATAGCTCCTAAACTCAGATATTCCAGCTGATGCTCCCATGGCCTGCAACTATTAACACAGTTCATTATTTTCCACATTGTAAAACTCCTCATCGTGTATTGGTGAAAACAATATTTACAAAGTTAAGTTAGTTCATTTGTAGCATGTAAAACCTCCCACCTTAGAAAAGGCTGATAACATATTTTAAGACCTTAATATTCTATAAATGAAAACATCTAATTTATACCAAATACTTTGAACAGCATATGCTGTAGCTAAAGTTCTTAGATATTATCCTGCTATCACTGCAGGTTAGTAAATGACTCTTAAGCTCCTATTGTTTGCAATGAATACAGTATAATGAGAGTGGATTAATCCGATGAATGCCTCAATAGATACACATTTGATAAGCAACCTGTGCCAGATCAATGCCATCTGCATTTGTCCATTTCTCCTAATCTAACAGAATACTGTACCTACATTTAAATTTGTCCCCTTCTCTGCCCCATTAGGATGGCTGCAATGAGTAGCTATTCTCATGAAAGGCTTCTGTTTTCTATTAGATGCGTAGTCCTTTTGGCAAAACATTATCTTTGCAAAGTAACAATCATTTAACTCTCAAGTCTGAAGCATTTTGTCTTTCCCCTCCAGGAGCTGATTTTTCTTGTCTGAGAGGGAATTTCTGTGAGGCTCTGTCTCCCTTATTGGAAAAGAGAGTTTGCAATCTTCTCAATCTGTCCCCTGGTGGTCTGTAGGGCATGGCATGCATAATTGTGTTCATTACACTAAAACTCTGTCAACTCTGGGACGAAGCTCATTCTTCAGGCAGGGAGTCTGGGTTCAATCTTTAGGGATAACTCATACAGAGTATCCTCATCTATGATGAGGGTCTTGTCGAGTAAGTAATGAGTAACCTGCAATACAGAAAACAATTGCAACGTATAATTTTGAAACTGAACAGATGGTACATTTTTAATTGAAGTTCTCTATTCTCCCCTTCCCCATAACAGCCAGTTAGCAGCTTCAGTCCATTTCAGACAAATGTTGGAATCATCTCTCATGTTCTGTTTTCTTGGTGAAGTGGAATAGTTAAATATATGTGGTACAAAGTATTCAAGCTGTTTAAAAAATACCTCTCTCTCAGTAAAGCGCAAATCCTCAGTCTAGTGTCCAACCCATGTAGCTGCTCTGGGAACTAGTGAAATGTGGGAATGAGGGGGAGGAATCTTCTCCTAAGACCACAGAGATCTATGCAGCAGCATCAGATGGTCAAGCTATACCCCATCACCTACTTTCTATGTGCTGGCATCCTCTGTGGAGCAGAGTCCATACTGCGCTGGGGTACGGAACTCAGTGGCACATTAAATCCTGCCCCTCTGATACAGCAGAACTGCACTGACTCCTCTGCCAGGAGGAGCCACACTTGTTGCAGAGGTGGAGGCAAGATTTGCCTTCATGTGCAAAGTCTGAGAAGAGAATGTTACTTTATCAGCTTATCACAACCCAAAGTACCAGGACAAATTCCATTGTTTGCCTCCTGCTGTTACTGTATGGAAACAAAAGATATTACTGTTAGCTTTGGGCCCCGTCTGTGTATCTTTTTGTCGATAGCAGGAATAGCCTTCATCATAGTGCCCGTGATCAGCATCACACACTACTGTACCTTTTGTTGATGTTCTATACGATAGGAGGTCTGCTGGAACTGGCGTATCTCCCTGATAATATGAGATATCTATCAAAGGAATACATTTATATAAGAAAATGTTCTACTTATGGTCTGTGCTTTAACTTGAACATATTGGCTTCAGTGAACTATTCCGGGAAGGAATTTGTTCCAAAATGATGCAACTTATCCTGGGGGTAAGGGCTTTGTGCTTGTGGCTTGGGGGGGGGGGGGGGCTGGCTTTACCTTCCCAAATCAGCCATTTAGACTATTAAACTGTCTCAGTTGGATCACCTTGTCCCTTCTTTCTTTACCCTGATAGCCTCTCCCTTTTCCCCTCAGGTGACTTCTGCAATGTGCAGTCACAAACATGGCATTAAACTACAGTCAGCAGAGCAGCTGGTGTCAATATTTCTCCAAGGCTGCCCTCTAAGGAGCTCTGAATAACAACATAGTTTGGAAGGCAGAGAGAATCAACCTTTAAATGCTTTTTCACTTCCTTGGGGAGCAGGAGTCCTAAACACACTCTAAAAAAGACCCCTTCTAAGTGTTGCTGCCTGATGAATTATGGTACCAGGTTGGCTACATTTTATTAACCATTTATTAATCCCTACAAGCCTAGACCAGCTGCTTTTCTTCCTGTAATTTTCAGCTGACCAAACTGAAAGCTAAATTGCAATACTCCTTGGCTTGCCAGCAGGTGGTGAAAGAAGACCATCCCTGGATTCAAATGCAAAAGATTGCTTTCAAGCTTCTATTTTGTATTATGCAAATATATTGTGTAATCTTGCAATTTGAATTCAAAGAAGTCCTAAGTAAATCAATGTTAAACTTGTGCACTTAAAAACCTGTAGTGGAAACATGTAAGAAAATAAAAATTACCATTCTCATTTTGGAAAAATTGACAAGGCCTTCCTCAGTGAAGTTTGGTGTTCCTTCTTCAATAAATGCTAGATCTGTCAAGTACATTCCAAGATAGGGAACTGCAGGGGGATTACAACTGCAGGATGAGAAATTAACTATATTTTACTAGGATTTAATTTACAGACTGTTCTTTTTATACATTATACAAATGTCTAATTTTTTTTTATTACTTAAAATACTTTTACAAGTTGGGCCAAATTCACAGGTTAGTGTAAGTGGAGCAGATGCTCTGGCTTCACCTGAGTTGTACCCACATCTACCAGTAGGGTTACCATTCGTCCGGATTTACCCAGACATGTCCTCCTTTTTGTGCTAAAAATAGCGTCCGGGGGGAATTTGTAAAGCACTCACAATGTCCGGGATTTCCCCCCGGCAGAGCAGAGCGAG